TTTCAAACTTTGCAAACAAAATGACAAATTGTACATAAACACCCCACCTATGGTGTAGGGTATAACAATAGGAAAGGTCATGGTTTAATGGATATTTCTATAGAATAGTATGTATGTAGGTATGCTCATTTTATTAAATTCTAAAAAAAACCCAAATTCGTTGATTTTACAAGAGGTATGCGATGTAATTTACAAAATTACCCAATAACCATAAATCTACTCCATAAAATTTAATTTATATGAGAAAAAAACATATGCAATTCACTGATTGTCTTCCCAATCTTTCCCCTACAATCTTCTTAAGTTCATACTCTTCACACTAATCCCAACCCAGCTTTTAATTTGGTAGACTTTTGAAATGTACAACAACAATAACAAAAACACAAATTATTAATGTTTCCAATTGACTTATACAAGAACAATAAGAAATTGCCAAGGAAGAATTTATCTCGCATTCACTTTACACAATTCACATTTATTTAATGCACTTCACTTACCTTATTCTTATTGTGGTAGACATTTTTCCATGGTTTTTTCTTTTGTTTGCGTTTGGTTCCTTCTGTCTTTCTAGTTCAATTGTGTATTTAGCATGATTTGATTTACATGTTTTTCTTTCCTTTTTGTCCAATAAGAAACGTCAAAATTTGTTTTATTGGAAAACCGACTTTATTTTACTTCACTTTTAGAATTGTCACAACAACTGGCCGCCTTTTTTCGTTTATTATTTTTTTGTTTTTATTACAATTATTTGTATTTAGTTTTACGGGTTAATTAGATTTGATTTCTTCCTTTAGCCAATTTTGTAATTTTGCACACTTTTATCCACTTTACAAGGAGTATTTTTGCCAGTCAGTCTGTTAACAGCGAAGCCAGTCACTCGCACTCACAAGCACACACACCAATTGGAAGGAAAAATTGCAGCGGCGTCAGGCAGCAAGCAAGCAGCAGAATCACTTGAAAGAATAGAGGAAACCAAAAACCGAAAAAGACGAATGAATAAACAATACACACATATGAAGAAAAGTGCACGACAAATATAATAATATAAAAGCCGTCAAGACGGACATAACCCAGGTTAATGTTTTGTTTGGAAATGTTTGCAAAGAAAAAAGGGGAATCCTTAATTCAAGATAAAAATAATTTTGCAGAATTAGGAGGCATATATGAAAGCATTTTTTCCACACAAATCCCTAATCCGTTTGAAATAATTTTATTAATTTGCCAAAGCTATATTTGATTGAGATCGAAATTAAAAAAAAAAAACGATGATTGGCTGCTGGCAAAGTTACTTCGTTGCATCTTATAAAGTCAGACATTGACTCAGTGGTACCAGTGGTGAGGTTGGAAGATATATCTGGAAACCCAATACATACTGTCAAAATAAAACAGCTTAGGTCGAGTGAGGCAGATTACATTTATGACGTTTAGATAAACGTAAAACTCTTCGTCACATAAATGCCCTTGCCCAGACAAAAGAACAATAAAATGTCTTGCTTATAAACCACAGCTGTTCAGGACCGGTAACTGGTTACAACAATATATACACGTTCACTTGTTCTTATATCTGTAGATTTGGTGGATTCTCAGTTACTCTCACACATTTTAATTTTTTGACATGTTTACTTTTAGGTCGAAACCACAAACTTCCCGCCAAAAAAATATCTGAAACGAAATTCCCCAATAGTCCATCAGACATATAGAAGAATTTCAGGTATTGTCCATTTGGATAATATTGGACCATATTTGGAATTGGACTATATTTGAAAATTTCTTTTGTTATAAGAGAATTCCACTAATAACATTTTTATCTTCTTTTAATATTTTTTTCCTCATTCATCAATCGAAAATGTTTGCTGACATACAAAATAATACAGAAGGCAACCACGACGATAGTGACAACGATTCAACGATTAGGATGATTGGAAGAAAGAAGAATATTGGTGTGATGTGCAGGTGGAGAGAAAAATAATAATAATACCAACAATAAAAAGGGGGAGTTGCAACCAGAGTAAAATAATTCTAATAAGAATGCCGAGAACACCACTTTTTTGAACATACAACACTTTGTTCGTAATCTGGATTTTTCTTCTTTGCCAAATTTGTTAATTAAAATTTCGATTAACGTTTATTTTTAATGGAAACACTTTTAAATGTTATAAAAATATTTATGTTTATATTAAACCGCCGCCTTTACTAAATTGTTTACTAATTTTATAGCAACAAATTTTGCAACAAGCGTGCTGGAGAACGACAATGCCCTTCGAAATTGTTACTTAACGGCGTTAGAAATTGGCAGCAGTGGTAGTTGTGAACGGCGTCATAAATTAATGAAAAGAATGACGTTTCTTTGGAACATATGGCAAGTTTAATATGACATTGTTTTCGTAACGGTATTTCTTGGAAGATAGAACGCTTTACAATTTTTTTTGTGTTTTAAGTTATTGGCCCGCCCGATGGTCGAGTATAAACAGCGCCACCACCAGCTTTACAAATTTATTTTCAATATATTTTATGAAATTTGATCGCAATTTCGTTGTGAGCGTAAATAAAATCCATATAAATAATTTGTTTTTCCGTTCGTCTTCGGACGACTCACAAGAAAGTCGCAATTTAAAAGGTTGATCGGGCTTAAAAATTACAAAATGGCGCTGTGGTAAGCCTTCGCTTAACTTCCCACGTGTTTTATCTACCGAACTAGAAAAAAACTAAAAACCAAAATAACAGATATACATTAGAATACTTAAGGATACAACAACGAATTGACAGATCAATAAACACGAAGGAAGACAAAGACAATACTAAGCTTCAGTATTCAATTGCAATAGCTTAAAAACCAGTTCTGTGATATATTTATTTTTTACTGTGATTTTATTTATTTTATTATTTAATTTATTATTTATATTATTTAAATTCCGTTTTTTAATTAAAATAAATAATAAACAAAATTAAAAATTACTAAAGTTAACAAATAAGTGCAATATTCAGAATAAGCAGTATTTTGAAAAGAAATTATAACTTTTATTTTGTAATTAGATCAATAAAAAAACTGCTCCTGAAAATGTTGGAAAAAAGCCAACGAAAAAAAAACAGTTTTTATTTTCATCAAAAATACCTGACCAAAAAAAGCATAAATAATTAATAAAATACAAAAATTGGTCAATAACATACATAAGTAAATGAAAAATATTTTATCATTGACTACAAATTCGAGCGAAAATTGTTTATAAGAACATCTCGTTTTTATACAACAGGCATCCAAAATCGATAGATATTTTTAGACGGTGTCTACATATGGTGTATTCTCTTATACCTTCTATTGTAATAGAAAGTGGACTAGCTGAAGGAGGAACCGCATTCAGTATTAAAAAATAATAATAATTTTTTCATGATATATCAATTTATGTATAAAACACCACATCATTTCAATGATATCCAAGCGAACTGTGGAGATTTTTGAGATATATTGGGCGGTATCTCAGCCATAGCTTGACGAATGTTGGTATTAATGTGTACAAGAGTAGAAGCATAAACACGATCTTTCGAGAAGCCCCATAAAAAAGTCTAAGGTGTCAAATCGCATGATCGATATTGCCACAAAGAGAAATTACGCGACCAGAAAATGTTTCTTACAAGCAAGTCATATTCGCTCGAGTCTGCCACCGTCTTGTTGAAACCACATATTCTTTAAGTCATATTCTTCAATAGAAGGCAAAAGCAGTCGTTTCTCATATGACCATCGTAGTTTTCGAAGAATTAAGGCCCAATCACAGCTTCGGACAAAAGCGGTTACATTTTCTGGATGTAGTGTCTTCCCTTCAATTACTTGAGTATTCTCAGAACCCTAAATACGACAATTTTGTTAATTTACCATACCCATCGAGTGAGAAATGTGCTTCATCGCTGAAGAAATTACGCGACCAGGAAATGTTTCTTACAAGCAAGTCATATTCGCTCGAGTTGTCTGGCACCGTCTTGTTGAAACCACATATTCTCCAAGTCATATTCTTCAATAGAAGGCAAAAGCATCGTAGTTTTCGAAGAATTAAGGCCCAATCACAACTTCGGACCAAAGCGGTTACATTTTCTGGATGTAGTGTCTTCCCTTCAACCACTTGAGTATTCTCAGAACTCCAAATACGACAATTTTATTAATTTACCATACCCATCGAGTGAGAAATGTGCTTCATCGCTGAAGAACATTTTGTTCGAAACCTTGTTCAAGCACCCTTTTCAACGTATGAATGGTAAGCTGATTTCAGTTTTCGCATATGCAAAAATGCATTTAAACGAAAAATAGGTTTAATAACTATGTTTGATAGATATTGAATTCCAGTCCCCACTAAGACAGAAATTGTACTCTTCAATAGGAAACGTAGCATCCAAAATTTCCTTCACCACAAACTAACGTGGAAAGGAGGAGCGCACTAAGAAAGTACTAGTAGCATCTCTCATCTCTCTTATGTCTCTCACTTCTAAATGGCATATCAACGGAGTGGATTATTGCCGACTATGTGAGGACGTGGAAGAACTGGAAACAATTAAACATATACTCTGTAGATGTCCATAACTGAGTGACAGACGACACAGACAGTTCGGCAAATAAGAAATTTAAATAAAACTATTTGTCAATTGAAGTATATTTCCCATTTCCCCTCTAGACGATTTCAAGTACTTTGGTACCAAGTAATGCCCCTTTTTACGTTCTCAAAGGAAATTACCAATATTTACCTCATAACAATCTTTTAGCAATAACATGGTAGTCCACGAGGAAAGCTTCTGTCCAAACCAGCGAGTGTATTAAGGACTGCATAGTTCCTGCAGATACAGTTAGATCAGTTTTAGTAAATATTAGTATCCGTTCAACTTTAGGTACAGCAGCATCCATTAACATTACGCTACAAAAAACTATCACATTTAGAAAATAGGCAAAAACAATCCTTAGTTTATCTTATTTATTTTAATTAAACTATACCGGTAGTCCAAACAAAAATTCTTCAACAATTTAAAAATTATATGTCAACGGATGTGTTGCAAAATAGCCTTTACTCTTGACAATTTGTCGCGACAAACGTTGCAAGTTATTATCGTTATTCACATAGCTTCCGTTGAATATTTCTTTGGTTATGGTCATTACTTTATCTCTTCCATCGGCACAAATGGCCATGGCGGTGAGCATTTCATGATCGGCATGTTGCAACCCTATACAATATGAACGTGAAGCACGAGCCAAACTGGAGAACATGGCATAAATAGTGGTGGCCATATCAGCAACACGTCTCGATTCGTTATGTCGTTCAACAATACCACTACCGTAACGGGTAAATAATAGATCAACACACATTTGCAATCGGGCCACAGAATGTTCCAAACATAGGGCGGCTGGTTCGAGAGTGGGATGTAAATGTTCTTTGCAATCCATTTTTGTCACCGGATTATCAATGGTTGAACGGTCCATGAATTTGGAGAAAATATGGCCGGGATTATAGAGAGGATTACGCTGCTTGCGTATATTATCACCCATTAGTGTCTATAATAAAATATGCAGAGGAATTCAAATAAAATATGATTATATTTTTTATTTCATTCATTTACTTACCCCAGCATGTTGCAGACCAGCCAAGGCAATGAAAATACTTAAATTATCTACTGATTCGCCTTGTGTATACAGGTGGGAAGCATTGCGGAAAAATTGTTCTGTTGTTTGTCCCGCTATCAAAGATTTGGGTCCAATTAAATCCAAGGCACGTATGGAAATATTTAAGAGTTCCTTGAGTGTGAAATACTAAAAAAGACAAACAAACAAAAATCAAATAAAACAACATCAATTGAGTTTGGGAAAATTTTACCTTAGTCACTGCCGATTCCACAGCCACATCAGGATAATTAAACTCATCTAAAAGACCAGCCGTCATATATATCATACTCTCCATGCTATAGACTGATAAATATGATTTTGCCAAATGGGTTTGAACTGATTCTAAATCCCTACAAAAAGAACATAATTTTATTAAACCCTGCTGGGCAATTTAGTTTTAATTTTCCCACTCACTTCATTACCACACCACACAATTTCCGATCAATACATTCTTGTGAAATTTCATTGAGTATGCTCTTGGCCAAACCCAATCCAACCATGCTATTACGCAGCCGACTAGATTTCAACAAAGCGTCGGCAACAACATTTCCCTCATGGGCATGTCCCAAAATACACGACTGTGGTACGCGAACATTTTCAAATTGTACATGATGTATGGCAGTAGTGCCACAGCCAATTGTCGCATGACGATCACCAATCTTTACGCCGGGCATAGTTGAATCCACTAAGAATATTGTTGTGGAACGGGCAGCTTCAGTTTGTACATTGGATTTACTAGTTTGGGCTACCACTAGGAATAGCTGAGCAGCATCTGAAGATTTGGGTGGACAAATAACAAATGCTTTGCCACCATTTAGAATCCAGGTATGGGTATCAAGTTCATGATGAGCTTTAGTGTTGAAAAAGTCATCTTCGGCGCCATCAAATTCAAAAATTGCCTCCGAGGCCACAAGGGATCCTAGAAATAAAATCACAAAATAATTAATCTTTCTGTCATATAATGAAAATTATACAATCTCACCATTCCCCAATTTGGTCAATAGCTGATTCTTTTGCTCATCCGATCCCAATTCTTGTATTACATCCACAATTGCCCGATGACCCAATAGACTCAAAGCAACATCGGTTGCCGCTGATTCTGGTTCACTGGCCATTAAACTTTCACTATAGCCCCAACCTTTACCATCAAAATCCTTGGAAACATTCAAACCATATAGACCCAGGCTTTTCAAATTGTCCGGCAATTCTTTGGGCAATGTCTTCTCACTTAGGAGCATTTCCTGTGTTAAATCCTCGTTAAAGAAATTCTTCAATGGCAGCAATTCATTTTGCAACTTTGACATATCTTCACGATTAATAACTTCGGGAAATGCCAATAGCTCATTGTCAACTAGACCGACAAAAAAGTTCTTGACCAATGGTAAACGAGGTGGTAGCTTTTTTGTAGTGGCACCGGCAACTTGTTCCTCTGGTTCGGGAGCATCGGTAACGGAAGAGCTTGATGCAAATCTGTTGCTACTCGAGATGGCCAATCTACCTGTTGTTTTATTAATTAAAGCCAATACTTGTGTTGTACGCAACATTTTGTGCGATTTTTTCCTTTTAAATCCGCAACCGTTTTATCATTCACGTAATTATTATTTTTCGGCCAACGGCATGTATGCTGCTTCTTCTTGTTGAATATATGCACTACGAGATGTGTTGCCATATGATTTTGTTTCGGTTTGCTTCTTCATTATATTGCTATTCATTGGAAATGGTTACTCTTAGTGGTGTTTCTTTAAAATGGCAATGCCGTATTAATAAGATAATTGGCAACGCAGTCATGTAATGACATCAGAAGTACAATATGTGGTATGTTCCCGTACTGCAAGAATCTACTAGATTTTACTATTTTCTTCGATATCATAAAGAAAAATTCGTTATCGTAGTAAAAAGTAGTAGATTCTTGCAGTACGGGAACAGACCATAAATTTTTCGCATTCTCAATTAAGTGTTCATGGTACAATTATATAAGGAAACTGTGAAGAAAATTTTGTGCACATTAACCCTTTGGCGTATTTCCACGAGTCTGACTCGTGGTACAATTTCTGTGCCTAACATGATTATCACGAGTCTCACTCGTGGTACAATTATTATTATTATTTTCGATTCTCATAATAATAAGAATAAAACTAGTTGATGCCGTGCACAACATCTAATCTAAAATAAATAGTTTTATTACATGCATTCACATTTCGTTTTGCGGCTGTTCTTAAGCATCAAAACCGGTTTACTTAGTGCAAGTTGTGTGCTAAAAGTTGGAAGCGAACTTCGTTGCACTAATTGATACGTCAAAGGGTTAAAGGGCTAAAGAGAAAGTTCGCGTTGAGCGTTTTTTGTTATCGCGTTAACGCACGCAAAAAGTTAAAATATATTTAACTCCGAAGCGCAGCGCACATCAACTTCGAGCGTTTATGTTATCGTTTCCTTGTGGTTGTTGTATTTTCGATAACACAAAACGCAACGGATGGCTCAACGCGAGAATTCTGCTTAGCCCTTAAGGGCTAAGCACGATATGCGCTTGTGTTATCGTTTCCTTGTGGTTGTTGTATTTTCGATAACATATAACGCGACGGACGGCTCAACGCGAGCATTCTGCTTAGCCCTTAATGTGCACAACATTTTCCTTACAGTTTCCTTGTATAATTGTACCATGAACACTTAATTGAGAAGGCGAATAATTTAATTTTAGGTCTTCGACTTAAAATCAGTCTGAAAATATGGCTCAACGCGAGCATTCTGCTTAGCCCTTAATTACTCTCAATTTACCAATGAGAGAGAAAAAATCGAGATTAAAGGGGTAAGCAGAATAGATCCCGTGAACCACCGTTACCATCCGTTATGTATTATCCAAAATACAACAACCACAAGGAAACGATAACACTAGCGCTTAACACGACCATGATTCAATAATAAGGTCGCCCGATAAGGCCAGATCACCCGAGCTTTCAAAATGATTTCGATTGTGTGAAAACGTAAACAAAATATTTGACAGTATGGTGGATTTTACTCCAAAATTGTCGATAACGATTGCTTCTGACTCGACATGTTTATTGGATCATGAACACGACCATTCTGCTTAAGGGCTAAACAGAATGTTCGCGTTGGGCGTTTTTTGTTATCGCGTTAACGCACGCAAAAAGTTAAAATATATTTTACTCCGAAGCGCAGCGCACATGAACTTCGAGTGTTTGTGTTATCGTTTCCTGTCAAACCTGCTCAAAATCAATTTTTTACTGTTACCGACTAATGCAAAATCGACTAGAAATGTTATTTTTTTATATGAATTGTTGTCATCAGACGAAATATTGAGTTCATCTTTATCGTCCATTTTGTCTTCTCCTCCCATTCGTTAGCAGGTGGAACGTTTTTCAAAAACCGTTTTTTTACTCGAAAACCGAACCGTTCCTGAACCCATAGTCAAGTGCATTTCTTAAGTTTTTTCCGATACATTTCTATTGCATTCCATAATTATAAATTCCAATCTACTTCAAAGATGTCCAACAACAATAATGGTCAATGGGAAACTGTAACAAAATCGAAGAAATTTAAAAATCTCGAGAATAAGGTTGTGGCCTGAACCATTTATATAGGTTGTACGTATATAAATGGGTGTTTGTATGTGTCCATATTCTGATAAGTTGTAAACAAAACAATGAGTTATTATTTTTCCTTTTAGTTGGAAATTGAATTAATATTTCTCTACATTCCATTACTGAAAGTGCATAAAGGGCAAACTATTATTGTGTGTCCATTCAATGTCGCTTATTCGACGGATTTTAACGGCGTCCAGAAACCTGTTTATTGTAATCAGCCGGCAGTTTTTAATTAATTCCAAAATGAAATAATATCGTTATTTTCCGAAATAATTTTGAAACATTAATAGGGGAGGAAGATTTCATGTTCATAATAATTTCGTATTCATACAACTAATATTCGCAATATCTGTGTAATGATGCACCAATTGTTGTAAATGATGCCACATCAGCAATTGCTGTAATAAAACTAGAGTTGTTTTTTCTGATACACAATCAAATATAAGCAAAGTTTGAATATTTTATACTAAATTGTGTAACCTCTGTTTCATTTATGATTTTTTCCCTAAACAATAGGGGGTTTGTGCTATTAGTAAAACCATTTCTTGTTAATGGCATAAAAATGTAATGTCGAATTTTATATGAACGATATATGTCCTTTTTAAAAATAGTGGGCAGTTTATATTTTTGGGCAACAGGTTATTACATATTGTTTATTATGAGTTTTAATATATATTATTTTTATTTTCAGTGCCTTCCCATCAAATTCGAAAATTGCTCAATGAACGCGGCAAGGCTGGTAGCAAAGATGTTTCCCCTTCAAAATCAAATACAAGTACGAAATCGAAAACATCAACGCCCAAAAGAACAGCCACCAAAGCCGAAAAGTTTGGACCAAGCTTTTAAAGCACTAACTCCAAAAGATTTTACCATTCAATTAGAACATTTCCAATTGTTATATCCCGGCGCGAAATTAACTTGGTTAAAAGTGGTAAGTTCATAAATTGAATAATCGTTTACCTTTAATAGTTTAACGTTATTTGTATTGTTTTGATTTCAGATAACCGGTTATATAAATTCGAATTTACAATTTGAATGTGATCCTGTTTTTTCTGGTCGCTCTACATCATATCCCGGAAATTTAGCATCATCCGAATTTAAACAAACATTAATTGACTTCTTGTCATCGGAGGGTGAAGAAAATCTAAATTACTTTTTCCATTATACTCTATTGGAGAGTATGTGTACTGATTTAAATAACAATTTACCTGTTGTAGGGTACAAAGTAAGTCAATGATATTCAAATTTATATTCATTTATATATGTTAAATATGGTAGTCAAATGACTACCAGATTTAAAAGTAGTTTTGTAAAATTCGAAATAATATAAAGTTATAGTAGGTTTACATTGTACCGGATTTATTAAATCCAGTAGATCTTATTGTCAATTCCATTACCTATATGTCAAATAAATCTTCATAGAGGAGGTTAACCCGGCTAAAAGTTCTAATGTAAATGTAGTGTTATAAAAAAACTTTTTATCGATTTAAAACTAAATATGAATGTTCGTTTCGACTATTACCAGCCAATTCAGGTTCATTTCTTCAATAATATTTAATTCAATATATTTGATATATTTGTATACTTATCGATATTTATTTTATCTTTCCAGTTTATGTTACAATTAATAGCTAGAAATTGGCCACAAATTTGTTCCTCAAATATGGCCAGTACCGCAATGCTAAAATATTCCTATCAAAATCGTAGCAATATCTGCTTAAGTATATTGTGGGCGATAGGTCAAGGAGGCTATGAAAATCTGATGGTGGGCATAAGAGGTAAGCTGCAATTTCATTATGCAAAAAGGAGACTGACTAATTTGTAATTTTCTATATTTTTTGTTAGTGTGGCAAAATTTAATGCTTCCAAATTTAGAGATGAAAAGTTACTCTCGCTTTGTAACCGAGTACATTGAAAAGATTTTGAATGTGGCCACGGATCAAAGGTATGTATTTTATTTTCATACAAATATACCAAATGTTAACAATAATTTCTTTTCATTTATTTTATCTCCTTAGAATATAATTGAATCAAAATGAGTTCTTTGAAATATATAATGCATTGAAGGCTCCCTATCCTAGTTTACCCCGAGATTGCCAACAATCTTTAGTTAGAAGTTAGAAGTTAGAAGCGGTCAACTTGGCCCAACCACTTAAAAGTGCGTCAAGGTCAGAAACTGTGAATGTAAGCGTAATAGTTTTTATCCTCCTCGGTAGAGGTTTAAACTGCCGGTCGTATCGGTTCGCGAGATACCGTTAGAAAGTTAGCTTGTCTATGAATAATAATGGTGGGATATATTTCGGAGGAACGTTTTTAAATGTCTATCGCTATATCGTACAAATCCAATGTACGGTCAAGATCTAATTTCGAATTTATTGTCCGTGACTTTATTGGCTTTAGAACCGCATTGATATCCACATATATGGTCGCATTCTACAAACACTTATCCCAAGCTTCTTGGCAAGAACGACTATCTACATGATAGCTAGCATCCATGCTGTGAATATAATCGAATTAGTATATGTAAGATAACGCTAATAATTTAATTAATAGATTATTCAACATTTAATACCACATTTCACCTACTTAGGAAATAACACGATATTTTGTGTGGAAAAAAGGTTGTAGTACGATAATTTTTCCAGTAAAAATTACTCAGTAACTTATGTTGAGAGAACTTGCTCTCTCATGTGAAATTATTGAAAAATCGTTGTTATTTGAATTTTGCGTGTGAGGCAGTGATCATTTGAATGATTAATTACAGGGTTTAAAATGCTAACGCCAAAATAGCAAAAACACAGAAAATTGCCGCACTGCTAACTAAATTCATCCTCAAAATATGCAGCACAGCCAAGCACAACTGCAACAAATAGCAATACATTACGAATAATTTTAGCAAACAAAACTAAAGCTTCTTGATTTTCGTCAGCAGCTACAAAATAGCAATAAACAACTACAACATAATTGTCAACGCGACTAACAACCAAAGCTTACAATGAAGACTAAGCACCTTGACTGTGGCTGCTTAGCAAGATTTTTAGCAAACAAAACCCGAGTATTTTTCGAGTTCAGTGTTGCCCATTGAAATTTTATAAATTATATGAGAGAATTAAAAATCGCGATTATGATAATTTAATTTTTTCGAACAAAGACAATTAGTAATACTTGTTAAAGAGTTTAATTTAATATATTATTTAGTTTTTAGTAAGTTTAAATTAAATAAAAACGCACAAAATGAAATTCCTTTTTTCTAATTTCTGCGTTGGCAACACACAAACATAAAAACAACCCTCGGCTGATTATTCGTCGGCAGCGAAATATGAATATGTAGTCGTACTGCCGATTAGTCACAACAAAAAAAGCTCGCATGTGCAATACGTGCTTACACGGATGCTACGAACTAAAAAAGCTAGCCGTTTGCTGATTTAGTCATAATGTCAATTTTTTTTAGCAGTAGCTCTGTAAGACTAATGCTAATATTTTTTGATGCTGCATTTTAAACCCTGAATTAATTATCCATCGCTACAACAAAAAACTGATTTGAAAAACGACTGTTTCTAGAATAAAGACAAATGTCGCACCTTGACAAATTTGAATTTAATTCGCATATGCAAGTTCGCATCAGGGCGAAATAAATACAAGTTATCAACATACGACCTTTGTAAAGCCACATAGCCCAATATTCCTGATGAGCCGCTTAATCAACGGCCACTTAACCACTCATTTACTGAACTTTTATGTTATCAAAAAACATTCAGTAACTATTTGTACAACTTGTTACAAATTATTGGACTGGATTGAATTATTGTCAAACAAACCTATTAATATTGTTACGAAAATAACTTTAGATTTAAGATTAATTTAGATGAATTCCGTTAATTTAAGAATTTGAATTGTAACGTAAATTTCTACTACGCAGTTTATTCGAATAACTTCACAACAACAACTACTGTATAGATTTTTCTACATCCTTCCATTTCCTCTTTCATTTTCTATTTTGTTATTGACGTACAATTCTTGTTAAACGTCATCATTGATGATCGCTTAATTCCTCTTTCTTTGTTACCCCCTCGCCTGTATATGTGTTGTTGTTATTGTTTACTCAATGAAAGGTTGTATGTGTTTGTTGCATTTGTAGATAGTTCGTAATCTAGGTGTTACCAGATCGTCTAGAAACTTCTGTAGCGACAGGCGAGGCTCATATAAATAGGGGAAATGGAAAGGCAGTTAGGCAGTTGTGAATCAGATCGCGAATTGAAACCGTCAAGTAACGTAAAGCTGTAAAGTAACGTGCAAAATAAAGTGTGTCAATAAACTCATTGTAATAATCGTAATCAGAAAGAACCCGCGTTTCATTTAGTACGAACTGTGCTGGGAAATAAAACAACGTCTACACGGGATTAAGTAAAATCCAAGAACGTAACAATTGGTGTCGGAAGTGAGATTACGATAGTACTACGATGAAGTTTAAGGATCTACGAGTGGAAGACTTGAAGAAGGAGCTGAATAAATTGGAATTGTCCTCTACTGGCAACAAGGCTGAACTCCAAAAACGTCTGTTGGATGAGTTCGAGCGCCGTGGTATGAACATCGATACATATGAGTTTGACAGTAAGGATGAAGTGGATTTATCGGAAATGGGCGAATCCAACGGTGGGGAAGTCTCGTCAGTAGCTGCCAGGGGTGACGATTTCAGAGAAATGCTGGCTAAAATATTCGAAGAGAATTCCAGAAACACGAGACGAATGTTCGAAGAGAATTCCAGGAAGTCAGAAGAAAACTCGAGACGAATGTTCGAAGAGAATTCCAGGAAGTTAGATGAACTCAAGGCGGAGAATTGTAGAATGTTTGACGAAAATTCGAGAATAATGAACGAGAAACTCGAGAAAATTACAGAAGTTATTGGAAGGAGAGTGGAAACCGTGGAGGTCCAAATTAAAGAGTTGGATAAGAAAGTGCAGTCGGTCGACGAGAAGATTCTGTCTGTGGATGAGAAATTTCTGGCCCACGACCACAGGTTTACGAATCAGGAGAAGAAAATGTCGGAACTGGAAATCAAAGGTGGTCCGGTGCGAGTTCCTGATAACACGCTAAAAATCAAACCTCCTGTATTCGACGGCTCTACGTCATTCAATGTTTTCAAGTTACAGTTCGAGACAGTGGCTTCTAGAAATTCGTGGAACGACAGCGACAAAGCGGTTGCACTACTTCTGACATTGAAGGGCTGCTGATGTTATACAGAGTATTCCTGTCGCTTCTAGGAACAACTATGAAGATGTTATTGCTGCACTGGAACGTAAGTACGGTGGCGAATATAAACAAAACATCTACCTTATGGAATTAAGGGGAAGAGTACAGAGGGCGAACGAGACGTTACAAGACTTTGCAGCTGAGGTGGAACGTTTGGTGCTAATGGCGTATCCAGGAGAGAATCACCCATTGGTGGACCGTATGAAAATCGAAACCTTTGTGAATGGCATACGTGACCCTGAGATTAAATGTGCAACATATGCGTCACCAAAATCGTCATTTGCCGAAACCGTGTCGTTTGCCCTTGCCCAAGAGACGGCAAGAATAATTGTTAAGCCCCAGACCCACAAGATTCGCCAACTGGAGACCGAATGTAGCGAACACAAATCTCTCGTTAACTCGATCGAGGACGCCGTGAGGCGGGTAATAGAAGAAACAAAGTTAGTAGGGACGACTAAGCCCAGGGTTAGATGCTACAACTGCGATAAAGCAGGTCATATTGCGCGCGAATGCAGAGCTAAGCGCAAGCGATCCAGGTCATCGTCACCACCTCCAACGAAAGATGGTAGAAGAATGGCTCAACAATCCACCAATGAGTCACCGTGAAACTAAATCGAGCCAGTCCAGCGGGGCATGAACTGGCTCCCATCGACGATGGCCCCACAATCTCCATAGCAATAGTACAACAGAAAAGTCACAACCTAACAACAACTGGGTACATCAATGGTGACAAGCGGGTTCTGACGTTAGATACTGGCGCATCAAAGTCCATCATAAGATCAGATCTGGTAAAGGGAAAAATAACGCATCTTAATGGAGTCAGACTGCGCACAGCAACGGGGGAGCCCGCGACAGTAAACGGCAAGATTACCCTGAGACTAACTATTGCCAATAAATCGGAGAATTACGAGTTTATAGTTGCCGATATCGTAGACGAAGTGATAATAGGCGCAGATTTTATGATTGCCTTTGGTATCAATCTGGATATGAAAGAACGTGTGATGACCTGGTCTAACGTCGAAATTCCGTTAAACGTGGGCTACGATGAAAGTACACCCATTAGACTTCTGACTACGGACCATCCAGAGATAATACCTCCCTGTGCCGAAGCAATAATATGGGTACCAATGAATGGAGATTGTGGAGCCGAGAAGTTGTGGGTGGTGGAACCAGTAGAAAACATAAACAGTAACATCCTAATAGCGAATGCCCTGGTGAAAAGCAACAAGGACGGATTGATTCCTGTTAGAGTTTTGAACCTGTCAAACAAGCAAGAGCAAATTTGCCAATTTTCCGATGTTGGACAATGCACACCAGCTGAAGCTGTAATTAATTTGGAAACTAGCACCGAAAAGCCAGCAGCCATGGAGAAGAAGCACCTCGACGGCTACATAAAAGAGTGGACACACCAATTATCACCTTCCCAGAGGAACAAGGCTAAGCAGCTGTTATGGAAATATGCCGCTACCTTTGCGTTGACAAAAGAGCACCAAGGAAGAACATCAGTGGTGAAGCATGAAACCCATACAGCAGACGCGAGACCCATTAAACAGCCTCCAAGAAGTGTTCCCCTAGCAAAAAGAGACGAGGTCCAGAAGCTGATAAGTGAAATGGAAAAGAGTGGTGTAATAGAACCATCGTCAAGTCCATGGTGCTCCCCAGTGGTCTTGGTCAAGAAAAAAGACGGAAGCACCCGATTTTGTGTGGACTACAGAAAGTTGAATGATGTCACCAAGAAAGACAGCTATCCGCTCCCAAGAATCGACGACACATTGGACACATTAGCCGGGACGTCATGGTTCTCCACCCTCGACCTGCAGAGTGGGTACTGACAAGTAGAGATCGCCGAGAACGATAAAGAGAAAACAGCGTTTGGCGTTAATGGGGGTCTCTGGCAGTTCAATGTCATGCCATTCGGACTCTGCAACGCCCCGGCTACATTTGAAAGGCTGATGGAGCGTGTGTTAAAAGGGCTGCAGTGGAAGTCATGCCTCATATACCTGGATGACATCATAGTCATGGGACGCAACTACGACGAACACATCAAGAACTTAAGGGATGTTCTACAGCAGCTTTCGTCTTCAGGCCTCAAGTTAAACCCGAAGAAGTGCAGTCTCTTCCAACGAGAGGTGAAGTTCCTGGGGCACCACGTGACGCCGGAGGGCATATCGACGGATAAGGAGAAAATTCAAGCCGTCAGAGATTGGCCGCAGCCCCGAAATCTCCATGAGCTTTCTGGGTCTCTGCACCTACTACCGTCGATTTGTCCCAAATTTTGCCAACATCGCCGCCTGTCTACACCGCTTGACGCAAAAAGGCCAGAGGTTTCAGTGGGGCAACGACCAAGAAGAGGCATTCAGAAAGCTCAAAGACCTGCTATGCAGAGCCCCCATTTTGGCATATCCTATACCTGGCGGAAAGTTTGCTTTGGACACAGACGCAAGTGCGTGCGGCATCGGTGGCGTCCTTTCCCAGGAAATCGACGGACAGGAAAGAGTCATCGGGTACTACAGCCGGACATTGTCGAAGCCTGAGAGGAATTACTGTGTGACGAGGAGAAAGCTGCTTGCTGTCCTTGAGAGCGTTAAACACTACCACAAATACCTATATGGTCAGCATTTCCTGCTGAGGACCGACCACGCTGCTCTCCAATGGTTGCTGCAGTTTAAGAATCCGGAAGGTCAACTAGCCCGTTGGATCGAGAGGCTCCAGAGTTATGATTTCAGAATCGAGCACAGAAAAGGCGGAAAACACGGTAATGCTGATGCCCTGTCTCGTCGTCCATGCAAGGTAGAATGCAGGCATTGCTCAAAAGCTGAGAATAAAGAGAATATCGTTGATGTCCGACTATTGCAGTTTGAGTCGGGTGAAGATTGGTCGACGGAACAACGAAGTGATCCCATTCTGGGCAAAATAATTTCGGTCATAGAAACGGGCAGGCGACCTAGTCGCAAAGAAATTACCTCCGAAAGCCCTCTTTTAAAATCCTATTGGGCCCAGTGGGACAGTCTACTTATAATAGATGGTTGCCTATATCGTAAATGGGAAAGTGAGGACGGTAAATCTCACCGGAACTTGATCGTCGTCCCAGACTCCAAAATAAGAGATGTCTTGTCGGAGTTTCACGATGGGCCAAGCGGAGGACATCTTGGCATAGCAAAAACCGCTGAAAAGGTAAAGCAGAGATTCTACTGGGTCGGCTGTCAAAAATCCATTGCCGACTGGATCGCCAATTGTGAAAGGTACATAAGAGCTAAAGGTCCAACACGGAAGAGTCGAGGCTACATGCAGCAGCATAATTCAGGAGCCCCTTTTGAAAGAATCGCAATGGATGTAGCTGGACCGTTCCCAACAAGCGACTCTGGAAACCGGTATGTCTTAGTGGTCATGGATTACTTCAGCAAATGGCCAGAGGTTTATGCTATTCCAAATCAAGAAGCCAGGACAATTGTGGATGTGTTCAGCAAAAATTGGATTTGTCGCTATGGTGTTCCATCTGAGGTTCATTCCTATCAAGGTAGGAACTTTGAATCAGCGATCTTCAAGGAAATGTGTGACTCCTACGGAATCAAGAAAACCAGAACGACGCCTCTACATCCACAATCAGATGGCATGGTGGAAAGATTCAATCGTACCCTGGAAGAACATCTACGGAAAGTGGTGGACAGTGGCCAACGAGACTGGGATGAGCATATTCCAAAGTTTTTACTGGCTTATAGATCGGCCATTCATGATTCCACATCCAAAGTCTAATACGTTTAAATCAATATTTTATATTGTTACGTTCTTGGATTTTACTTAATCCCGTGTAGACGTTGTTTTATTTCCCTGCACAGTTCGTACTAAATGAAACGCGGGTTCTTTCTGATTACGATTATTACAATGAGTTTATTGACACACTTTACTTTGCACGTTACTTTACAGCTTTACGTTACTTGACGGTTTCAATTCGCGATCTGATTCACAACTGCCTAACTGCCTTTCCATTTCCCCTATTTATATGAGCCTCGCCTGTCGCTACAGAAGTTTCTAGACGATCTGGTAACACCTAGATTACGAACTATCTACAAATGCAACAAACACATACAACACATACAACAACAACGTCTACACGGGATTAAGTAAAATCCAAGAACGTAACAATATAAAATATTGATTTAAACGTATTAGGCTTTGTTCCTTGCATGTATGTATTTCTGTCTGCCACTGTTGTCATATTTGACATATCTCCAATACTTTGGTCCATGTAAATGTATTTCTGCCGGTCGTCACTGTTTCTCATATTTGACATATCGCCGAGCCACATAACTACAACACTGCCAACATTTCGACTACTCGGTACTCGATACATACATGACATATGGTTACTTGTTTGCCACTTTTCCCATCTTTCGTTGTTGGTTTGGTGTTAAACGTGGGAAAAAATTTTAGCGGAACGGCAAATTTTGCAACATTTCTGCAATAACTATAAGGAAAAATTTTGGAAATTATAAACATTTGAGGAAAACCCAAGGTTTTCATTGAAGATTTCTGTGAAATAGTTACAACAAACAACACCGGACTATAAGGAAAAAGATAAATTTAAGAAAGGTCAAAGATCTTGTGTCCATTAGGAAAAGAAAAATAAAAAACAGGCGTCGTATCGTGCGTGTACAGCAAAAAAAAAAGCAAAGCAAATTTTGATTGAAGCAGGAGGAGGAAAGGCAGCAAAACAGAATCGGAAAGAAATTTACGAGAAAATTTTTAGGCAAAATTTTGTCAAATAAATGCATATAGCTTCCGATTAAACGAAACACGTGAAACCGTTTAAGAGGAAAGAAAAAGTTTTTCCATTCGGATTTTCTGTAAATTTTGCCTAGATTGTCAATTATTACGCGCCGCATCGCCCTACAGTCTTTCAAAAGATACACAAAAACAAGCAGCAGCGGCGTTGGCAAACAGTGGAAAGAAGCAAAGCGGGGAATTCAGAGAATCGATTTTTGACCGGCTTGTGTGCGGTTTTTATTTTTCTTTTCTGGTGGGGTTTACGATACCGCATCACGAGTGTGTGCAGCAGGGTGGTGGTGTCTGTCGGTGTACATTGAAAGTATTACAGTGAAGACGACGGCAAAAATCAAAACAAAAAACAATGGGAGCTTACCTTTCACAGCCTAAAACGGACAAATTCTCCACAGATGAATTAAATGAATTTTTAATTGTGGGTGCCAGTTCAATGCAAGGATGGCGCAATAGTCAAGAGGTGAGTGGAATTGAGTCCTTAAAAAAACTAAGAATTAAAAAAAATTATGAGATTTTTTAGAAAAATTGGGTTTCAGGGGATCTAGTGGGGTTACCCTCAAGATTTATAAATTATAAAAATGTGTTTTTTTGTTTCTTTCAGGATGCTCACAATGCCATTTTGGATTTTGATAAGAATACAGCATTTTTTGCTGTATATGACGGCCATGGCGGTGCTGAGGTCTCAACATACTGTGCCGATAAATTACCAACATTTCTGAAAGAATTGGAAGCCTATAAAAATGGTAATTTTGAACAGGCCCTAAAAGATGCCTTCTTGGGTTTCGATCAAACCCTGTTGGAGCCAGCCGTCATTGAAATTCTTAAAGTGCTAGCCAGTGAGAAGAATAATACCGATGGTGATGATAGCGATGCTTTGGATGATGATGAAGATGAAAATCTGGTGGACTTAGTTGAAGATGGTAATTTACCATTAAATCAAGTAATGGAAAAATATACGGGTCATCCCGTATTTACGAAAAATGGAGTTCCATTTAATGTCGATGGAAATATGGGCAGTAATGATTCGAAATTGCAATCACCATATTTACGGGGTAGGAGAGCTGCAGCCATTATTGCTGATGCTACAAATAAAGCTGTATTGGATCCAGAGTCAAAGCCAGAGGGATCATCAACATCCAAGGCGGCATTAGAAGCTTTGCGAGGTGAGTAACTTAATCATGTCCGTAGTTTTCAAAGGAAAACTGGCAATTTTCTTTCAAATGTTTAAGAAAATCAACAGCCAGAATTTATTCAAAGTAATTGCAACGGCTGCTTTCTGCCTGACTTTTGACGTCTTGCCGTTATGTTGTGGAAAATGTCCAATATAGTCACATTTTTCGATATTACCCTATATAAATCTCAAGCCTATTTTAAAGAATTCATAGCCGATTTACCATACTTTGGAAATCATATTGAAGTCAATAGATTAGACGATGACTGACATTCATTTAGTCATCGTCTATCTATTGACTTCAATATGATTTCCAAAGTGGGGAAAATCGGTTATGAATTCTTTAAAATATGCGTGAGATTTATATAGGGGGGCAATATTTTCCAAAATCTTCTTTTTTCGACATCATATCAATGTTTGTTTTTCTTGGTTCTCTTTAAAGGTGAAGGACCCAGTACTTCAAAAGCAGCATTATCGACTGTCGACAAAATTAAATCTGAGGGAGATGCAACTGTTAGCAGCAGCAGCAGTAGCAGCAGCAACAGTACAAACAAAACAAACAGTGCCAGTGATGAAACTGAAGCTGCCGCTACCGCAGGTCCTTCATCAACAAAATCATCGAATGGAAATGCTACAGAATTGCCCGATTCATCTGCTGTCAAGGAAACTGAACAAAATGGCAGTGTCTCCTCTACGGAAACAAAATCAACTGCAGTCAAGGCAGTGAATGAAGTTGTTTCGGGCTCTTCGGATAGCACTAGTAGCAGCAGCAATACTACCACTAAACAAAATGGTAATGTGGAATCATCTTCGAATGCAGTGTCATCGCCCAGCAAAAAAGAAGCAAACAATGCATCATCGGATATAAGCTCAACTAGCAAAGAGCAAAAGGAAAAGAAAAATTCAACATTCTCAGATAATTCCGATGAGGAGGACGAGGAGGAGTTAGATGGTATGACATGTTTGTATTTAAATTTTATTATCTATTCCTTGTAATAATACATTTTTTTCGTTACAGCCAATGAAAGCAATGCCCGTCAAACTTTGGAATACTCGTCGGAAGAAGATTTGGGTGAAGAAGATACCACAGAGGATGAAGATGCCGATTACGATGATGACGATGAGGTCGATGATGAAGATGAGGATGCTGACGATGACATGGACGAAGAATCCCATTTGGCCAATGAACAATTCTGTGACAATATGATTGAAGAACCGGGCAAAGACAGTGGTTGTACTGCTGTGGTTGGTTTATTGCATGGTCGCGATTTATACGTGGCCAATGCTGGTGATTCCCGTTGTGTTGTCTGTCGCAATGGCAAAGCCATCGAAATGAGTTTGGATCACAAACCCGAAGACGACGAAGAATCGGCACGTATTGTAAAGGCTGGTGGCAGAGTTACTTTGGATGGCCGTGTTAATGGTGGCCTTAACTTGTCCCGAGCATTGGGTGATCATGCCTATAAAATGGTAAGACAATTACAATTTTGAATTGTTACTGAAAGAATATTGAAATATTGGGTCCACATTTTAGAATGCCGATTTGCCCGCCGAGGAACAAATGATTTCTGCATTACCCGATATAAAGAAATTAATTATATCACCGGAAGATGAATTCATGGTTCTGGCCTGTGATGGCATATGGAATTTTATGACCAGCGAGGAGGTTGTCAATTTTGTACGTCTTCGCCTTGGCGATGAAAACAAGAAAATGTCGGAAATTTGCGAAGAACTATTTGATGCTTGTTTGGCACCAGACACCATGGGCGATGGTACCGGTTGCGATAATATGACCGCCGTCATTGTACGCTTTAAACCGAAAATTTTGGATTTACCCACGAAAATTGATCCCAAAGAAACCGAAGATGTTCTGCTATTGGAACGGCAAAATGAGGTCGAATCTTCCACATCGCCGGAACAAAAGGCGCAAAAACGTTCTGCATCACCCACCACAGATGATTCCAATGAAGCTGAGAATAAAACCAAACGTTTGAAGACTGATAACAATAAAGAAGATGGCAATGTTACACAAACATCCTCTAGCATAACAACTACTACTACCACATCGTCGTCAAGTAATGCTGCCGATACACCGGATGAGGGTAGCGGCGACGCCACAAATAACAATGAAGTTGCATCTTCATCGAATGTGGTATCCTCAACGTAAAGTATTTCTTTTAGAACTATAAAAAAATACCACCTCCAACTCCCCTTAAAAAAACAACAACAAAACGCATACATATGTAAACTTCATTAACCACCCCCTCATATTTTTACTACCTATAACTTCATCATACATAATATTACTGCAATGAAAAAAAAAAACAAAACAAAACAAAAAGCAAAAACAAACAAACATCAGGCAAAAGTAATAAATGAACAAAGTCAATGATGATTTTGACTTTTTTATTTTTAAGTTGTTTGGAAATCCTAGCCTCCTCCTTTACACACACAGATGAACGTTTCCCACGTTAGGTTTTATGTTTATAAGAATTTTTTATAACACAACCAACACACACATCCAAGATAATAAATGCAACAGAAGAAAAGGCAAACATTAATAATAATTAAAAAATGGAAAGTCTTAATAATGACTTTTTTATTTTTAAGTTGTTGTTCAGAAATATTCTAGACACAAACCCCCTCCCCCGATTCCCCTTAAATACAAACACACACATACATAAACGTTTCCCACGTTAGGTTTTAAGTTTATAAGATAAATTTATAACACAACCAATATACATCCAAGATAATAAAAACCCCAACAAAACAAAAAATACAATGAAAACACACACAGTTTTTTGAACTTACAGCCTGTTTTTGTAAAATTCTAAACGAACGAATTCGAGTGACTTACGACCAAACTCCTTGGTTTTGAAAAATATGTCATTTATTTTTGTTTTGAATCAAAAAATATTTGTTTACATAAACAAAGGTTTGGTCGTAAGTCACTCGAATTCGTTCGTTTTGAATTTTACAAAAACAGGCAGTTATTTTCATACCAATTAAGACAGTCTAAAATCTTACTAAACAAAATGCAAGCAAGCAAGGACATTAAATAGCATAAGGATTACAAAATAATAAAAAAAAGTAAACACACAATGCGTTCTTCTTTCTTTTTTTAATTTTTATTCTGTTATATTTTAGTTGCAAAAATATATTTTACTTCCCTTATATATTTCTAGTTTTTTCTTATTTTTGTTTTATTGAGTAGCCGCCATTTTATACAAAAGTAGAAGCTCAAAGAGTCCTACTTTATATTTCTGAAAAAAATAAAATACTATTATTTTCTCTCAATTTCCAAAAAAATATGTAAACAATAATTTCCAAAGGAATTTCATTATTTGTATACGCAAGTGTTTTTACATATCTGCAGGCATTTACCAACAAAATTAAAAACTATTGAATTTCTTGATGCCGCCTATTCAATTGTTAATAAATAAGTATTTTTATTTCTTTGCAATTTTTTACAAAATAAATTAACATTCATACTACACACACATACACCTTTACATACAATACCCCCCATATACAGCAGTATAATAATAATTATAAAAAAAAAAACGACTACAACAACAGCAGTTCTATTATTAAAGAAAAATATTAAATAAATGCTATAAAATCCAACGGATAAATCACATTAAACTGTTGTTTTTCTTTTTATGCATCAAAAGAGGTAAAAGTTTATAAGGAAAAAGGTATCCTTACTTAGTCCTAAGCCAAATAAAATGTTTGGTATTGTGGTATTTGTTCCACTTAGGCAAATAGGAGCTCTTCTGTGAGAGCCAAATAAATAGCTCGATACAATCCAAGATCACCGGAAAAAAGACCACTCAATGCTTACAACATTTTTAATTGGTTAATGCAGAGGACATACGAAATTCCGCCCTTAAAAAATTATGAAAACAATTGTTTATAAATGGTCTGTTCACGTACTGTTAAAATCTACTACATTTTACTACGATAACGAATTTTCCTTGATTATATCGAAGAAAATAGTAAAATCTAGTAGATTTCAGGACTGAAAATGTTTTTTTTTTTTTTTTGTAAATATTCAGGTCTAAATATTGTGAAAAATGTTTTTCTAAGAACGCATGCTTTGAAATTTTTATAAAATTCACGCGTAGCACAATATATTTGTATAAAGATCCGACTTTATTTTTTATTTTTATAAAAATTCACGCCTTGATTTTCTTTTGAAAATATATTTTATAAAAATCGACGTTTTGAAAATAAAAAAACATGTTAAAGGAAAAAATCGACGCCTTGATATATTTTAAAAATTATTTTTATAAAAATCAGTTTGACTTTGACGTTTAATTTAAGTAGACGCTTTTCCTTTACAAATTAAAAAACTTTATCCCTGATGATGATTGTCGATGACAATCGAAATATTGGAAGAATAAAAACAAAATAAAACAAAAACAAAAGTTTTTCATTGACCTTTAGCCGAAACATCATCAAAACATTAACAATTTGTCAGGTCAACTATAAATATCAACAGGAAAAATCGACGATCTAAAAACGTTTTAAGTCTTAAAATTTTTTAGTTTTTTTTTATAAAAATCCACTACTTGAAAAATTTTAAATTTTTACATGAAAATATTTCTTTTAAAAATCCAAGCCTTAAAAATTTACATTATATAAACCGAAAAAAATATTGCTACAAAAAAAAAACGCACTTCTTAAAAACTGAAAAAATATGTCCATATTTTATTCTTAAAAATATTTTTATTAATATCCACCCTATGAAAAATGTTGAAAATATTTCAAAATTCGCCCATGAAAATTTTTGAAAAAAAAACTTGTTATAAATTCTTATTTTTAAAAATAATTTTTCCTCTTGCAGAGAAAGTTCTCTTTTTGAAAGACACCATGAACGATTTTTAATTTCCCTTTTAAAGAAGACAGCAAATTAAAGAGCAATATTTTCTAATTTTTATTAATTTATGAAGTAAGAAAAGCAGAAGATATTACGTTAAGATTATATCATACTAATTAATACATAGTATTATTATTTTTATATTTTTGTCTAGAGAAGAAAAAAAAAAACAATATTAAGATTTAATAGCATCACATGCAGTAATAACACAACAACAATTGAGATTATTATATATCATCTTTTTTGATATAATCATTATAATAATTAAGAAATATTTCTTTAGTTTGATCCGATATAATGCTTAGAGCAAATAATGTTTCTTCTTTTTCAGTTGCGGTCAACTTGTATTTTCCCATAGCAGCCATATCCCATAAATATATCATTTCGGCCACATATTCAATCGAATTAACCGATGATTGATGTTTGGTGCATGCCAGTAGATATTTTGTCATATCGATTAATTCTGTATAGTCCTGATCATGCAATGGTACACCAACTGAAACGCAAAAATTATACAAAGGAAGATTATTTTCAATTGCTTAGAAGAATTGGGAAGGAAAGTGGTAATTCTTACAATATGGTAATTTAAACCATTCGGCACAAAACTTTAATGCCACATACACACGAACATCATTAAGTCCGATGAACGTATTTTCTAGAGATTTAAATATTTGATACAGACGGCGTCTGGTCCCACTCTGACGTACTTTATCCAATAAACCTTTTATCTCATGATACCAATCGAGACGTTGTTCACAACCACATTTTGTACAAAATATTGTTATATCATTTACCGAACCCTCATCGGTATTCTGCCACCAATTCAATGAACGTCTTTGGGGAATAATAGGAATAAATATTTCACGACAGTCTTTATTATCACAACGGTAGCGATGATATTGATTCTGTAATTTGAACACAATTTTACTTTAATATATATATTTTTTATAAATATTTTCATTTTTTAGTACTTACAAAATCAGCATCTTCATTTGGCTGCGAACAATTTTCACATTTACAATCAAAATTATAGGTAGATTTCAAACGCTGCTGTCTGGCTTCACGCTTCACCTTGCGATAGTCCAAATCATAGCAATTTGTAATTTCATCACCTGGCCTTAAATCACGCAGAGCAAATGTACTAATATAGCGACCGGAAAATTTCGGTTGAAATGATTGGACACAGGAATGATTGCAAATACTCAAATAGGGTAAATTAATTGCAGCAACATCTTCATAGTTGCTGAAGGTGTGCAAATAGCCACGTTTCAAATGGCCCGGTTTCAGCCATATGCGATCGTTAAGTAAATAAAATTCGGTTTTTGTAAAATATAAGGGCTTGGAAATAATTGTCGTTAACATATGGGCATTTGATATTAATTGGCCGACATGTCGTAGAATCAGCGTACCCACCAACAGCTCCCAATTGCATTTGGAGTTATGTTCCTTTAGTTCATCAAAAAATTTCGTATAATGTTTTAAATATACAACCAAGAGATAGGAGATCAATGCGAACCTTGAATAAAAAAAAAACATATTCAATTAGTAATTTGTTTTAATTATTCTTGGCAGGATTTGTAATATCCTAAATAATGATTAGTTCTTTATTTAAACTCACCACTTAATATCCATAATGGTCATAATATCCAAATTGGAAATCATCCGCAAAGATTCAGCATAGAGCTTAAGACTATTTTCATAAATATCTCCACCTTTTGTCAGTGATTGCCATATTTCGGCATCAGTTGTTTTGCTTTTCAATTCGTCAACAATGGTAAATAGGCCATCGTCCAAAATCGTTCTTAAAGCTAAATGAGCAATACCAGCATTGGCAAATAATTGAAAGCGATATCCAGCGCATTCATATCTATGAATATTTTCATGTTCGTTTTGGCATTTGAGGGAGCAGTAGACAACACGTCCACGGCAATTGAAACAGGGATAGGGTATAAAACCAGTTATGGCACACTGATGACAAATCCGCCGTCCATCACCCACTGGGGTAAATGCCGGAGCTCTTTCGCGAAAGATAAGCTGATCCTTTGGTATAAACTTTTTGGCTTTCATAATGCGTCCTAAATCGGTGCCGGTATCAATGCTGTAATTATAAAAAAATACGTTTGAATATCTTTCAAAAGCATAACTATCGTACTCTACTTACATTTCCTGTGAATCTCTGGTTGACTTTGTTTCCTCCTGCTCCACCTTTGGCGACTCTTTCTCATCAGCACCTTCCAATTTCTGTAGAGATTCTTGAAATTCTTTGAACTGCTTTTGGAAGCTGTCATTTAACGACATCCCCTCCAATTCCAAAAGGTGTCTCTTTAACGCCTCGGCATCATTTAGCTTTACCGAACAGTAAGCTTGTCGCATTATTATCTTATGGCGCATTGCCGTCGGATAGCCCATCTTAAGAGCACAAACACAGTCATCATAAGCCTGCCCATAATAGCCAAATGCCTGTAATGCCATTGCCCTATTTGCAAATCCTAAAGCTATTTCTTCACAACCTTTACAATCGAGAGCCGCAAATATGGCATCATTGTAGAGACGACATGCTCCCAGAATGTTTCTATTGTTCTTAGCGTTAAAAAATATATTTCCTTGTTTCCTCAATTCTTGGGATTCCTCCAGACGTTCTGAGTCATCTTTCAGTGAAAATTCCGTGTCCTCATTTTGTTCCAATAACTTGATCCATTGCAACGAGGTATCCTCACAATATCGTTGTAACTTTGGTGGTAGTTCGAAGAGATGACGCATTGTTTCGAATTCATTTTCATATTTTTCCAAGCGTATGAACACGCTCTGGGAGGAAAACAAGGAACACAAACTGGAATCCATGGAGGAGGATTCGTATAGTAACGAACTAGTTCAAAAGGAAGAATTCCGGGGAATGAACCAAACAGAACCAATTCTAGGTCAGTCGTTGTTCAGGTTCAAAATATGCCTTGCGCAGTTTAATGATAAGGTCCACCATGCGTTCAAAATGCGGAGAAAATATAGAAGACAGCGGAATTGCCCGTAAATTTTAAATGCATTACACACAACCTTGGATAATATTTTAGAGGGAACGCGCTAAACCTTTCCGTTGGAAATATTCTCTAGTTGGAATTTTGTGAACTAGTACTCTCTTCTGCATTATGTCAGTTTACACATACGCAACGATGCATGCATTCACTGCCAATAGTTTGGAAAATGTTATTAGCTGTGTCTGGTTACTTTTGCAGTAATATTTACTCAGTAAGTTTTTTAGAAAGTAAGCCGGGTTTTTCTCTTTTGCTATAATACTGAGAAATGTAAACATACAACATCAAGTAATATTTTGCAAAATATCACGTAATTGCACTAAAAATGCTTCAAATTTATGTTTTAAAGAATGAAATTCGGAAAATAAAAAATATTTTTGAACTTTGGTCAAAAATTTAAAATTAACGACTGATTGAAATACATCGTGCTGGATAAATCTTAGAAATTTAGGCTACGTTTAGATTTACTTTAAATCTTAGAAATTTAGGCTACGTTTAGATTTACTTTAAAGTAAACAGACAATATCCAGTAGTATTTGACAACAATGTTTACCAAATATCGAGTAAAGAGACACAGTTATTATAAACTTATAGTGGAGACGATGGAAATGTGCAAAAACGAGTATGAATTTGATCAGCCTTATACTGGACATTAATTCACCGTGAATTTGTTCGCTCTCCGCTTTAAAGTTATTCTGAACCAGAACTCGAAGTGCATTTTTTCGCATTTTCACTTTCACCTTATTCGCTCTCAGAACACTATTCTTAATTCATTTTTTTTTATTTTTCAAATTTGTTGTTTCTCCTTTTAACATATTTGTGTGTATTACCTATGAATTTAAATAGAAAAAAATTATTCTCTTTCTCCTGAATATAGTCAGAACCCATAGCTATTAACTTTTCATTCATGTTTTCCATTTTTTCTGAAATTTTTGTTGTTTTTAATACATTTTTATATTTTCTATATTCAAATGTCACATATTGTCACATACATATTTGGAGAATTTTTTATTTGAGTTTCCCCACATTTGTTTCTTGTTTTGTACGCTCATTAGAATCAAGGGAAAATAAATGCATTATGTAGAAAACAAAATGTACTTCCTGCTGCATATATAAAAACTATTCATCATTTTCAATTTTTTGAAAATTTTATAAATATTTTCATGCTGTCAAAATTACAGCCAAAGCCTTCAGGCAAACCTTTAATTATGTTTATAAATTCAAAACAAAAATAAATGGCATATTTTTACAAAATGCATACAAAAACAGGCTGTTGATTTATTTGCTTAATTCTCTAATTAAAGGATAAATTTCTTGGTTATTCAGAGAGTGATTCGAATTGAACAATTTTTTCAGACATTTTTGTATGGGGAACTAAGTAATTACTTTATAATTAAGGGTCGAACAACGAATGAGAGAGCGAACGACGCTCGTCTGTACATGGCATAAAAAAATATTAATATTTTTGTGAAAATTTTCGAGATTTTTATTACTACTTTTATTATGTATTAAAATTTGTGTCCTTTATAAATTATTTTTCTTCCTTTAACTTTACTACTTCCTCTTTGACGATTACATCATTTTCCATATCTCCTGCTTCATCGGAATCATTCAATATACTATCCATAGCATTTGCCTCCACCTCATCCTCATTGTCGTCATCAGTGTTCGTTTCCGAAACGTAACTTTCTTCTGTGCGATCCGCAGCATTAAGCGTCTCATCGTCATTTAAACGATATGCGCGAAATTCTCCAACTTTTTTACCATCTATATAATAGTATGACATAAAACATTTACGGCATAAATATGCCGGATCATTTAGCAGACGATTGCTGCCCTCCACAACAAATACATAATTTACTTTACTACAGATTTGACATGCTCGTGCTGTAAAACGATTCACCGACTTCATGTGAGGATAATTATGCAGCTCGAGAAGCTGTTTCGCCGGATTTGTGATAACTTCCAATTGCGAGAAGACAAAAACATGTTCACAATTGCCATGATGTTGATAGAGTTGTGGAAATCCCATACTTGCTGTTAAATCAATCATGCGAGTATCTTCCATTCGTGCTACTTTGAAATCTAAACTGCTTAAACCTTTTGCCTTTTTAGCCCAATTTCGTACATTTTCCGAGTAATCGGCATTTAAGGGATTCCGTTTGTCATTATAAAATGTATCAGTTATAAAAAAATATCCTGGATCGGTTTCTTTTGTTGGTAAAGGTGCTTCGGGATTTTCACTGATATCAAAGAAACGTTTATTATTGCAAGTACAAGAGATTTTGTCTCTTAATTCGCTTAACAAATTTGATCCCAGACATTCAACTTCTTGTGAAAAAACAGGACGTTCGATTGTGCGACCGGCGTGTGTAACACGTGCTGGTCTATATAGGCGTATAGTAATTTTAAGTTCTTGATCTGGTTGTAGATCAATGGAATTGGATACATTATCTTTTAGTGGCACCCAAAAGTTATAATATAACTCTGGACATCTCTTAAACGGATTAGTATATTTTCTCGGTTGTTTACATTTCATGGCCGTTGTATATGATTTCAAGGTTATTTCTTTTATCACTGCATTTAAATTTAACACACGTTTTATCTCTGAAAATCCTGGTATAAATTCGGCAATTCTAGCATCATCTTCATGTTCTAAATTTTCCAATGAACATTCTTCCTCGATTGTTTTGAAACGTTCATCGTTCAGATTTAAAATTTTTTGTAAATCAACATCTTCAGGTGGTAACGTATATGATCCTTGAAACATTTTCTTATAATCTGAGAGGAATTTCTTAAAATATAATGGTGGTAACATTGCCTGGCCAAGTATTTCCTCCATTGTGATTTAAATGCTGTAAATAAAAATAAAGTAATTGTGTCATAACTCTTACATAGGTGGAATGACATTTATTTTACTACAGACTAAAATATCAGTTGCAATGAAACTTGTTATCATGATACAATACCAAGGAGTAGAATATTCTATAAATGGTAAAAATATCGAAAATTTTCAAAAAAAAAAGGCTGTAGCATGTGACGTAATGCCTGTTCTTTGACCCGCAAGAATTTAAATTTTTACAACGATAACAATTGGTATGTTCCCGTAGTGCAAGAATCTTCTACTTTTTACTTCGTTAATGTATTTTTCTTTATGATATCGAAAAAAAATTGTAAAATCTAGTAGATTCTTGCAGTACGGAAACAGACCAAATATGGACAAAATTTAGTAGATTCGTGTAGTTTAAGAATCCAATACAGTGTTGCATTTTTCAAAGTAAATTCTCGTACTCAAAAGGTGGTAAAACTTGTAAAATTTATAATGGGAAATCGAAAACCATTTTGATTAATTAAAGATTCTTGCAGGCTGTGCAACAGAACAGTAGCGAAAAACTACTCCCTTAAACAGAAATTTTCAAAACATTTGCGAAAAACATATAAAAACACACCACAGTAGCTGAAGATTTAGGCAACATTTATTTGTACTATTCTTTTATTCACAAATTCATTCATAATATCAAAATAGATCCTTCTCCTTCCACTGCGGATCATTGACATTTGGAAATTGTTTAATAGCTTCATCATAATTTATATTTAATTTCATATTTGGTTCTTCTGCTGTCGTCTCAGTTGCTGTTTCAGTTTCAGCATCGGCCATTTGTTGATCGGTCTCTTTTAAACTTTCAACATACATACGTTCGAAATTAATTACTTTATTTGTCATTCCAAAAATCTTGTACTTCTGACGGCAAGTAGCATCGAATAGTGGATCTTCAGGTGGAGCATCATTATCCTTTTCGAAAAATACATCTGTACCCATAACAAAGTCGTATGTACCTAATTGAAGAAGAAATGTGTGTTTTTAGAATAGAAACCATGTAATCTTCAAATTGTATACGTTCACATTATCATGATTAATGGTGGATTTACATCGAACAGAAATATATTACAAACATCGTAATTTAATTTAGGATTGCACATACAAATTTTAATGAATTTCGTCGTCCTTACAAAAATTATATTTTTTCTCTTAAAACGTGTTCGTTTAATATATATTTGTGTTTTTGCAATAAAAAAGACTTTCTCTGATTTTCAATTAAGCGGTTTTTCTTTTAAGCGAAGTAAAGTGTTGAAAATTCATCCGAAATATTAATTTAAAATTTTTAGTTTCAATTAACCGATTTTTTCAATAAACCGGCGTTCACTTATCCGAATTCGACTGTAAATGTATTGTAACTGCCTAACATGTCGTTTACAAGAAACTATTTTTGGAATGGAATTGACATTGAAACCCACTGGGTTAACGAAATCCGGTTAAATGTAAACGTACTATTACACTCTAATATTTCTCAATTTAGACTACGTTTAGACTACTAAATCCACTCGATCTCAATTTAATTTTAATTTAATTTGTCTTTATTTACTTTGTAATTCCATTACGTATACGTCTTATATCGCTACTCTAAAACAAATCTTATAAATATAATAAATATTTTATGTGGACTTTTATATTAAACGTCATTTATTTGATGCATAATTAATGGAATTGTCAATCTGACAAAACAGCGTTAAAATAAATCTAACATAAGAGGCCCTAGAAATATTCAACTAAATTATACGCTCTACGTCGATACTTAATTTTTGAATATTCACATGGCACAATGAATTGGTAGTCCATTTAGAGCAGCTGATGTCTTGATTAACTGTCAAAGTGGTCAATTTTACTTGAATTCGATGTGCAATGCTGCCAAATTTTTGAAATATTATAAGGAAAAATTTGACAGATAATCGAGACAAAAGAAGGTTTTTGTTTTGATACATCACCTTATTATTGCATCATGAATATGCATTTCTTTTGATTGTGTTTTATTAAAACATGTGCTGCATTTAATCATGACAATGTAAACATACCCAAAAAACAATTATTTTACATTTAATTATACAAACCTTTAAATATATTGCCATTTATTTCTGCCACTGGATTCTTCGTTTCAATTCCAATTATTTTTATGGCTGAATTTTCATCTGATAATTCTTTTGGTAAGATTTGATTTTTAAAATCAGCAAACACTAAATATTCTTCTTCTTCGTAATCAGAATCGTCACTCATTTTAAATGGTTACTTTAAACACACACACGCACTATATTTAGTTTCCACTGTACACAGAGTTGTATTTACGGCTATGAAACACTAAAGAAAAACAAACTGTCAAAGCAAACAGCCAAAAAGAGAAAACGAGATTATTTTACGTTTGTGTGCGTTTGTCGTTGGAAAGGCGGAATAAGTTTTTTGTAGGGTAAAGTAAATACAAATAAGTTAATAAACGGCAATTGACTGTATAAATATTAAATAATATATTTTTAAAATCCACAACTTACCTTTTGTGTTCGATTTTGTGTAATATATATGTATTACTTTATTATTCCCAGCTAATGTAACTTGTGTTTTTCTTTCTTTCTCTTTACCACACAGTTTTTATTGTTGCCAACCTTCACAAACGTCAATCAGCACAAACATCATTACCACCACCAGCACACTACTACTACACCACCATTTTGGAAATAGCGTGTAGAATAGAAAAAAAAGACTTAACAAGGAGAAGAAGAAATACGTGCAGAAGACGTGACGAAAAAAAAGTACAACGTCATTTGTAATAAAACAGAAAAAGGAAAGACGACAGGGGACGCGCCGCTCAACATAAATTTAGTAAAAATACTAACCCCTTTTCTTTCGAAAAAAAAGTAAATTTAACAAACACAAAAACTAGCAAAAATGGCTGATGAAGATTTATCCTTGAATGAAGACCAACTTTTGGAGAATTTGGATGAGGCTAATGGCGAAAATGAATCGGAACTAATAAACGAGGTAAGAGAGTTGGAAAAATGGCAGATGAAAAAAAACTAGTTCTTAATAAACACCAAGCAAAAAAAGTCGGTTGACAGAGCAAGAAGGATGATGGTAGCATCAGTAACTATCATCGTCCTCACACTCACACATGGCAGAAGAAGAACAAGAACAGAAGAAGGAAGAAACGAAACAAGTTTAAGCTGTAGGAGGAAGAAAAAAGGCAACGCTTTTTGGCTCTGCTTTTTTACGTATCCGACAAATGGATGTATCTGTTGTGTGTGAACTTTTCCGTTTTTTTGTTTTTGGGAGTTACCAGATGACTAGTTGTTGCTTTTTCATAGCCATCTTCTGAGATGAATGAAAATATGTTTGCAGGCGGGTTTTTTCTGGTTCATGCATGCATTGATTGCTGCTGTCATCAAATGTGCGTCGTCGTCGTGTTCCAACGAAAATGAGGTTAGGTTTTTCTTTGAGAAAAAAATGGCGGGAGATTGTTAATGATAGAAATTTGATTTAGGTCAAAACCAAACAGAATTGTTGTTGTATTTTTGTATACATGCGTATATATTTTTGATAATTTTATTGATAAGAAACTAAAGATGCTTGGGAGGTCTATTAGTTGGTTTTTCTTTGTAAAATCATTAGACTAGGAGTTTATCCTGAGTTTTACGTAAATAAATTCAGGATAAACTCTTAGGATAAATGTGTTATAGTCGGGGAATCGTTCCCCTGTTCACGAAAATATATGACATTTATGGGGAAAGTCCATACTTCCCGAGATGTGGAGAAGTCCCGAGGTCTGCATATAACAATTTTTTACCTGTCCATAGAAAGTCTTACATCCGCGGCCTAAGGCCAAAATTTGCACCTGCCCATAGTATAAAGTCTTAAATCCACGTCCGAAGTCCGGCTACTTGGAAAAAATATAACGTAAAAAGGAATTGGAATCGCTTAGTTGAAATTTCCACCTGTCCGTAGGAAAAAATATATTGTGAAAAATATATTGTGAAAAGCAATTGGGGTCGCGTAGCCGAAATTTGCACCTGTCTATAGTGGAAAGTCTTAAATCTCCGGCTGAACGCCGGCTACTTGGTAAAATCTATAATTTGAAAAGGAATTGGAATCGCGTAGCCTAAATTTGTAAAAGTTAATAGGAGATTGTTGTAAATCCTCGGCAGAAGGTCGGCTACTTGGAAAAGAATATTTAAAAAAGAATCGAAATCGCGTAGCCGAAATTTACACCTGTCCATAGGAGAAAGTCTAAAATCCCCATCCAAAGGCCGGCTACTTAGAAAAAAAATTATTTTAAAATAAAATTTTGATCTGTAGTCAAACTTTGAACCTGTTTATAGAAGAAAGTTTAAAAATCCCAGCCGAAGGCCGTCTTTGTTGAACTAAAATGAGTTTAATGTGAAAGCATATTGTGTACCCATATTCCCTTCATCGGCATTTTGGTGAAGTTATAAAAATATTAATTTTCGAAACTTTCAAGACAAGGAAGTATGAACATCCCCCATAAATGTTATATATTTTCGTTATCAGGGGGACGAGATCTACCCGTCACAAAAATTGAGATAAGACCCTAAACTCAATTTGTTCCATAGTTCCTCCTATGGATAGATAACATCAGTTGCTATGGGCCATGATCTAATTTTAAAGGAAAAGCTTTCGAATTTTAGAACTCAATTCATTGTTCTAAAACTACTTCATTATCAAGATCTCAAGCGCTTCAAAATGATACCCAATTTTATGAGAAATAAAAAACGCGGCCGAATGCCGTCTATGTTGAACATTTTTTTTATTAAAATGAGTAGTTTAATGTGAAAGCATACTGTGTACCCATATTTCTTTCATCGGCATATTGGTGAAGTTATAAGAATATGAATTTTCGGAACTTTCAAGGCCCATATCTAGGGAAGTATGAACATCCGCCTAAAGTTATACATTTTCTTTTATTGTTATTAAAGAGGCCACTCCCATTCTCGGTGTTAAAAAATTAATTTCGTTTTTTGATTTTATTCGAATCTACACTAATTCAAAAATGCCCCAATTTCAAGTAAAAATCTCAAGAACTCTTGAAAATATAGCCGATTTATTGTGTCAGCATTAAGTAATCGCAAGAGTGATTCTGAAACTTGTCCATCATTGATTTCTTTCCCCAAAAATTGTGATTATTTTTCCCCCATATTAAATTGTGTTGTGTGGCAACATAACCGGAGATAAAGAGAGACGCCGACGCCACATGTCAAATATTACTGTTTTTGTATCTGTATGCTGTGTTTTTGCTGCTGCTGCTGCTGCGTTTTACTGGCTTGCATGCTGCTGCCTGACTGTTTTGTCGACATAAAACACAAGCCATTACGACCACCATACAAAAAAGCACAATTCCATTGTTCTTGTCTTCTTTGGTTTTGTGTTAGCATATATTTTTTATTTGAAACTTAACTTGCATCAAGATACTACCAACCGACCGACCGACATAAAGGGCGTGTGAATCATAAATATAGCCAACTTTTGTGGTCTTTGAACAATTTGTGTTTCTTGTTTTTTAAAAAAGAATTTAAGTTTTATTGTTGATTTTAATTGCTCATCCCTTATTGATTTGCAATAGGACGATACAAATATGCAAATTGATCCTGAATTGGAAGCTATTAAAGCTCGTGTCAAAGAAATGGAAGAAGAAGCTGAAAAAATCAAACAAATGCAAACAGAGGTAGATAAACAAATGGCTGGCTCGACCACAGGTTTGGCAACGGTGCCATTATCGCTGGAAGAAAAACAGGAAATCGATACACGTTCTGTGTATGTGGGCAATGTGGATTATGGCGCCTCAGCCGAAGAATTGGAAGCACATTTCCATGGCTGTGGTACAATAAATCGTGTTACAATTTTATGTAATAAGGCCGATGGGCATCCCAAGGGATTTGCATACATTGAATTTGGTTCCAAAGAATTTGTTGAGACTGCATTGGCCATGAATGAGACACTGTTTCGTGGTCGTCAAATTAAGGTAAGATAAAATAATGCATTGATTTCTTGTTGTTGTCTATTAAATTATTGTATATTTGGTTTTACTCGCTTTGTTCCAGGTTATGTCTAAGCGTACTAACCGTCCCGGTTTGTCAACAACTAATCGTTTCCCCCGTGGCAGTTTTCGTGGTCGTGGTGGTTCGCGCATTTCCAGAGCCTGCTGTCACACAACTACCTTCCGTGGTGCACGTCGCCCCATGTAAGTAATCGATAACATATTTCTTTTTATTTTCGTTTTACTTCTTTTGTTTTTGTGGCACAAATTTCTTATGCATTTTTATCATTGGTTCCAGAAGAGGTTATCGTGGACGTGTCAATTATTATGCTCCTTACTGATTAATATTCTTACCTACTTTTAATGGTGAGTACATTTTGTTTTCAAATTGAAAATGCTTGTTATTTTTTGTTGTGCATGTGTTTTTTTGGAGACGGAAATCGAATATTCCAACATCAAAGTGTTTTATCAAGGAATGGGCATAGATTTTGTATTTATTCAAGGGACTATGTGTTGTATTGGCGACATGTTTAATAATGACAAGCCCCGATTAATACTCAGGAATGAAGAATAAGACTAAGAAAGAATTCCTTTATCACAAGGGGAGTTGCCAACCTCCTACTAGGCGCGCCTTCCCGGGTGGCGGATGGGAAAGAGGTCTCCATGATGTGCAGAGTGAAACTGACCTTGGTCTTCTAGGTCAACTTTTCCCTGCACTCCGTGGAAACCTTGGGGATCTTCGGATCCCCAGTGGACCGAAGTGGGGCGGGGTAGTGCCCTTAAATAAATTAACTACGATGAGTAAAAGAAACAAAAAGAATAAAGTTACGGTGCGGTAATCGTTGGTGAGGTCACAAGCCACTTGTCGTCAAGATCAAGGGATTGTGATCCGGCTGTTCTAGGTGTGGATGCCTTGACACCTGCAGCTGTATCTGTTACAAGTGCATCAATTCCAAATCCAAACGTTGACGGCTATTCTTTTGTCAAATGAGCATGTCAAGACTGATGAAAATCAGTCTCTGGCTGACAGGACTGTATTTCAGGGAGGGGACGACCTACACGGGAATCTAAACGCTATCCGCGATAGCAAAGTAAGGAACTCTTCGACTAGCTAAACAGACTGAAACCGCAAGAGCAATGTGGGGATACGCTTCCCGAAGAACTGCTTTCGATTTGTACGAAATTTTGCTTATGTACTGAATTAAACTTAGATCGACGTACGTGAAGTTTCGTGAAAATTGGTTCAGATTTAGATATAGCTCCCATATATACCTTCGTCCGATTTAATGTAAATGGTGTAACAAAGTCGTTATATATATTTCGATTTGCACGAAGTTGGGTATAGCGCACTGAATTAAGTCTAGAATGATGTGTGCTAAATTTTGTGAAAATCGGTTCAGATTTAAATATAGCTCCCATATATATTTTCGTCCGATTTAATAGAAATGGTGCACCAAAGTTCTTATATATCTTTCGATATGCACGAAATTTGTCATATAGTATTGAATTAAGCCTAGAAGATGTGTGTTAGGTTTCGTGAATATCGGTTCAGATTTAGATATAGCTTTCATATATATTTTCGTTCGATTTAAAGTAAATGGTGCGCCAAAGTTCATATACATCTTTCGTTCAGTTTCATGTCAATGTTCTTTCGAAAAGGCGACGTCTGTTAGGAGACTATGTATAATAATATACCTAAAGTGGTGAAGGGGGGTATTATATAGTAGGCCCAGTCCGAATTTTTCTACTTTCTGTATTGGTTTGAAATTGTATACGATATATAACAGAAAATAAATATCTGCCGGAGTAACACAACAAACGTACAACCAGAGTATGTTTTGGATCCAAATCATAATATAAGAAAGGCTGATTGTCCTCTATGTACCTTCTCCGAAGTTCTCTCTGTGTGATACTCCCAAATATGTTTAGTTGGTGGGGTATCATATCGTCAGTGTTGTACGATTTAGGCCCTTACCATTTACGTATTTTAGATTTTAAGGAGGGGAAATGAAATGAAATACTGGGACAATTTGTTCTGAAAATGTTGCATTCTTTTAGGCGTATTTAAACAAAGTGGTACGATAGGTCTCTATGATACGTTAAATTCAAATAATAATGTTTTTTATTACTAGTTGTATATATATGGAAATCAATTTTTAAAATAATAATTATGTTTATAAACAAAATCATTATGGTTGCACCACTTTTTTATTATTTTCAATTAATAGCAGCATTAAAAAAACATACATATATCCATAAAGCCACCTTCTCCTCCCCATCACCATTTAATAAACACCTCCATATATTATTTATGTTTATGTATTGAATTTCGTTTTCAACCAATATTAATTTGATTTCAGATTTTTTTTACAATATATAATGATTTCAAAAAACATTATATTGTTGCCATTCTTCAAAAAATATAAACAAAAAAATAAAACTGATCCGAATAATAAGCAAAAAAGAAAATCAATCGTATTTTAAATGTTGTGTATATGCCAAAAACAAAAAAAGATGGGACAAAATAAAGCCAAGAAGATAAAGATGCAAAAAAGAAAAAAATATATAAGAACACAAGAAGATGACAAACTCAACAAGACTCTACCAAAAAAATCTCTGAAAAAAGACCAAATGAAAAACATCCTACGTACTTCTTGCTAGAAAACAAAAAAATCTAAAACAAAAGATGAGCAACAACTTTATTTCAAAACAAATCCCAAAAAGTACAACCGATTTATATGAATGTGGCTAATAATGTTTTTTGAATGATCATCACTACCTATATACATATATACTGTAAATCCTTTTTATTTTAACCAAAAAAGAAAAATAAAAACAACTTACATTAAAAAAAGAAAAGAAACAACATCAGTAAGAAGAAAAAAAGAAGACCAAGAAAAAAATTCAAAAAAGCTGAAAAAATTAATGGAAAAGAAGGGACACGCAAAAAAAAGAACATATATACACACACTGAAAAAAAATGGATCAAAAAAGAGATTGAAAAAAAAAAAACCCAGATGAAAAAAAGATGTCAAGATGAGCCCTCACGAAAAAAATAAGAATACAAGAAGAACTAAACAAAAAAAGAATGAGAATGCTTGAAAAAAATAACAAAAGAAGAATATAAGATGACTAAGAAGAAAGAAGGCAAAAAATATGGAGAAAATAAAAAAAGAAGCAAGAGAGCACACCCATAAAAATATTGAACAAAATAAATTTTTATGAGAAAAACAAAAATAAGAAAAAAAAAACATTATACATTAATATAAAATCTAAATAAAAAGAGAAGCCAATTAAAACAAGAAATCATTATAATAATAGAAAAAGAAAAACAAAAAAGGAAAAACTAAATAATATAATTAAAATATTATGAAAAACAATTTATAATGTATTTTTATTTGGGTTATTTGGTTGTTTTTTTTTTAAGGAGGTTCATATTTTAATGAATGTAGGTAAGTATTTCAACTGACTATGGCTTATCAGATTAACAAGTGTGAATTTTTGAAGACTGTATTAAGGACTAGCAGAGCTTTAAACATGCGTGGCATGTGGAGAGAATATTTTTTTAAGGAATAATGTAGAAAATTTTTTCAAGGACAATCGTAGCAAAAACGTGGAGCATGAAGCTTGGCTTGTCAAAGATTTTTAAAGTATAATTTTAAAGGTCTGGCGTAGCTACAACTTACACCAAGAAGCGTAGATTCTACAAGGACTATCAGATCTACAAGCGTGGGTTATTTAAAGAATAATTTTCAAGTACTATTGATCTTCAAGAAAGGATTTTTTAAAGAATAGTTTTAAGGACTATCAGAACTTCAGGTACTAAAAATAACATTTTTAGTACTATCAAATCTTCAAGAGTGGATATTTTAAAGAATATTTTTCAAGCACTATCAGAAAAAAATTGTGAATTTTTAAATAATATTTTTCATGTATTGTCAGATCTTCAAGAATGGATTTTTTAAAGAATATTTTTCAAGGACAAACAAATGCTTGGGAGGGGTTTTTTAAAGAATATTTTTCAAGAACAAACAATGCTACAATGGTGGGGTTTTTTACAGAATATTTTTTAAGGACTACTAATTCTACAAGCGTGGAGTATTATAAAAAATATTTTTCAAGGACTATCTGTTCTACAAGCGCGGATTTCTTAAAGCATATTTTTTAGGACTATCAGAACTTGGATTTTTTAAATATTTTTTTTCAAGGACCATTAATTCTACAAGCTTGGGGGTTTTTTAAAACTATTTTCAAGAGTTATCTGCTAAACGAACACGGATTTCTTAAAGAATTCATGAGTGATTTTTTTTAAATAAATTTTATTTAAGTTTACCAGATCTTCAAGCGCGGATTCTTTAAATATATTTTTTTCAAGGACTATCAGTTCTAAAAGTGCGAATTTTTTAAAGAAACATTTTCAAGTACTATCAAGTCTACAAGCGCGGATTTTTTACAGAATATTTTTCAAGGATTCTTTAAATATATTTTTTTTCAAGGACTATCAGTTCTAAAAGTGCGAATTTTTTAAAGAAACATTTTCAAGCACTATCAAGTCTACAAGCGCGGATTTTTTTAAGAATATTTTTCAAGGACTATCAGTTCTACAAGCTCGGATGTCTTAAATAATATTTTTTCCAAGACTATCAGAGCTACAAAGTAGGATTTTTTAAAGAATATTTTCAAGTGCTATCAGATTTTTAGAGAATATTTTTCAGATCAACTTGGGTAAATGTTTAAGGACTATCAAAAGATTTTTAGATCAACAAATTTTTAGCGAGGACTAGAGACCAACAACTATGGATTTGTTTAATGACTAGCATTAAAGGACTATCAGGGGCATAACCATGTGTTTTTATAATCTTAGCCTTATGGAAAGGTTAGGGAAGTACGGTTGTTAGTAACAACCGTCCAATCGAATACTATTGTCCATAGTGATCATCCTTTAATTACGTAACTGACTTGTTACAGAACGGTTGTTCCATACGCCGAGCTCAAAAAAATTTCCAAGCTCGTCGGTCTTGTGCGCATCTCCTCCTATTTGAAAGACCACGTTTCAAGATGTTGTATTCTACTTGGTCTTTCCATCTAATTCGTGGCTTTCCCTTCTACGGGAACCATCAGTAGTATCGCTTTTATAAGCCTTTTGAGCTGGGCGAATGAATGAGAATATTCGCACAACATGGCCTAGTCACAGTAGTCGCTGCAGCTCAATTCGACTATGTGGATGTTCTCGTATAAATTGTAAAGCTCGTGGTTACCTCTCGTATGACCTTCCCCAACAGGTATTAAAGGGCTCCGAGAGGTCCTTTCCAACTTTAACTGCTGATCTTGTGCCAGTTAAAGTTATCCTGCATAGCCGAATTAATTTTGCAGGAATGCAAAACGCAGACATGGCTTTAAAGACCCCTGAACGGATATGGCTATCGAATGCGGCTTTATAGTCGACGAATAAGTGGAATGTGTCGATGTGTTTTTCATGGTTTTCCAGGATTTGGCGCAGAGTTAAAACCTGTTCAATGGTGCCAGTTCTGAAGCCGCATTGGTATGGTCCAATAATGTCTTCAGTCGTTCATACAGCACTTTATATGCATGGGAAGGAGACTTATTCCTCTATAGTTGGCACATATCGTCTTTTCTTCTTTTTTGTGCACGGGACACAGGATGCTGAGGTTCCAATCATTGGGCATGCATTCCTCTATCCAAATTGTACTAGTCAGCTGGTGCATGCTCCTTACCAGCATCTAACCATCAGTCTTGAATACTTCGGCTTGCTTTATTATTCTTCAGCCGATTGATTGCTATTCTGACCTCATCTTGGTAGGGTGGTATAAACTCTAAGCCTATGGTGTTTTACTCGTTGGTAAAAACATATACCTTATATCAAATTAATAATAACATCTGTGTTTTTCCGTGGATCTCGACAACTATAGGCTCACACATTTTGGGAGAAATGACTACAAGAGGTATAAACACCGTTTGAAAAGTATATAGAAAAGTAGTAGAACATTTTGTCAAGATCTTTCAATAGCCTATAAATTTTAAACGGTATGTAAAGAAAAGCGCAGATGTTTTTAAATCCACAATCTATGGAATCCCCACGTCAATAAAAACAATCTTATTAGAGGATAAAATAAGTATCCTTATTGGAGGTTAAAAAGGTTGTCGTTTAGTTACTTTAATTACATGTTCCTGGAACTAAAAGAGGATTAATGGTTTATTAGGGCATTAAATAAATTCTGCCGCTTTATTTAATAACAATTGGAAGACATACTAAGTACGACAGGTATAATTTAACTTCTAGAACTGCCGTCCAGTCGGTACCATTTGCACAACATACGAAGTGAGGCAGGTAAAACCTTACAATCTCCTTTACAGTATATAAAGATTGGCAAAATTGCATAACGCCATCATTCCCTCTTCAAGTGTCCTTTAGAGAACATTAAACACAAATCAGATCCTCTTTGGAAAACCCCAATTAACAACATGCTGCCACAAACATCATTCGATATCTTGAACAGTGAAAAGGCTCCAACACCCCGATGTGAACCAATGATGGTTGATAGCGACGATGATGTTCATGGTGATTATTTGGAAACTTTTACCAGTACACGGAAGACTATTACCCCCAATGTTATGGAAACATTCAGCCTAACAATGTTGACTTCAAGCTACTTGCATCGCATCCCAAGTGGTTCACGGCAATGGGAAAGTTATTTGGAAGATTTGGTCGATTCGAAGGTCAAACGATCTCGTCGTACAAAAACGGAGAAGGAGAGCATCAGTGACTTTTTAAACAGATTTCCCGTCTACGAAGTTTGATGTGGGAAGGAAGTATTTGCCAAGCATTTACATGGAAATATTATTATTATTATAATTGTGATTTGCAAAGACCAAGAGAATTTAATTCTTTTTTTAGTTTTAAGTTATTTATAAGTAATTGGATTAAAAATAAAATATTTAAACTAAATTTTATTTCATCTTTTACATTTTTTAAACGATTATAAATTTGGAGTTTTAAAGAATATATTTCCAAGGATTCAGATCTATACGAGCTGATTTTTTATAGATGAGCAATAGAAAAAAATACAGATTTTTTAAAGGAATGTTTTAAAATGACTATCACAACTTCATTTCTATAAAAATTACCAATTTTTAGAACTGTCTGAGCAATAATTAAGGACTGGCATTGTGGGTGCTTTTTTAAAGGATTTTTTTTAATTCCAACCGGTTTGGTGGACCGAAGAGCTGTAATCTGAAAATTTACAACAGGACCAACTGGTATTTGCGAAAGAGAAGGGGACAGCAACAGATGGTAAAGAGCCGCCGTCTTATGCGAAGATTACCAGGAAACGCTATCGAGACGAGCTCTGCAATGCAATGATCGACGGAAATAGTGCGATAAAGGGAAAATCATTGTCATATAGACTGTTAATTACTTGTCCATATTCC